AGTTAATTAATTATTTTCTATCCTCATCTTTTTTGCAATATATCTGATCGAACCTATATTAAACACAACATCCTCAATAACAATTTGCGGCTTTTTATTAGCTACCATTTGTTTATCTTGTGAAATTCTTTTTAATAATGTTGATGACATAGAAATTGAAATTTTGGTATGAGTTGTAGTTGATAAAATTTGTGGAGCCAATTGGGTTTAAGTAGTTGCCACAGTGAAATTAATTCTAGGCATCGTGGAATTAATTCTGGGCGTCGTGGAATTAATTCTGGGCATCGTGGAATTAATTCTGGGTGTCGTGGAATTAATTCTAGGCATTGTGGAATTAATTCTGGGCGTCGTGGAATTAATTCTGGGCGTTGTGGAATTTGTGGTTGCCGCAGTAGAATTAATTCTGGGCGTTGTGGAATTAATTCTGGGTGTTGTGAAATTAATTCTGAGTGTTATGGAATTAATTCTGGGCGTCGTGGAATTAATTCTGGGCATTGTGGAATTAATTCTAGGCGTTGTGGAATTTGTGGTTGCCGCAGTAGAATTAATTCTGGGCGTTGTGGAATTAATTCTGGCCGTCGTGAAATTAATTCTGGGCATCGTGGAATTAATTTTGGGCATCATGGAATTTGTAGTTGGCATGATAGAACGCGTTTGCATTCAATACCAAGAAATTTACATAAAGAACAAACAAAATCGTTACATTCATGTAACTTATAGCAATTTATACACGCAGCATTTTTACAGCGCCAGTGATTCTTCTGATAGTAAGGTTTCTCTTACATTTAAAGGAATTTATACAAGGAATGCAATGGAATAAGGTTGCCATGATTTGGCAGAATTTATAATTGTTTGCCATTTTAGTTTTACTTAGGTAATAAAACATATTTATATAATTTTTATTATATATCAAAATTTACGTGTATATACACGTTCATATTTACACCGTGACTTACTAATATTCAGATCTTACCTCAAAAAGTAAAACTTTTGATTACCAAAATCGATTCTAAATCTATTTTCAACCTGAATCTGTATGATAAAAATGTGTCATTTTGATGGTAAGAGAATTTATCAGAATTTTTAGGCATTTTTATCAGAAATAGAAATCAGATAAATTAAGAAACACCAATGAGATAATTTATATAACTAATCATAATTATTAATCAAAATAACAGAATCATACGATGTTCTGACTAAGAATAAGTCTAAATTTAGTGTTGTTCTTAT